CATCAGCATCAGCATCAGCATCATCATATCATCATCATCATCATCATCATCATCATCATCATCATCATCATCATCATCATCATCATCATCATCATCATATTCATCAGCATCATCAGCATCATCAACATCATCAGCACCATCATCATCATCATCATCATCATCATCATCATCATCATCATCATCAGCATCATCATCATCATCATCATCATCATCATCCCCATTCTCATCATCAGCAGCATCATAATCATCATCATCATCATCATCATCATCATCATCATCATCATCATCATCATCATCAGCATCAGCATCATCATCATCAGCAGCATCACCATCATCACCAAACTCATCATCATCGTTATCAGCATTCCCATCACCATCGTCATCATCGTCAGCATAGTCATCATCATCACCATCATCATCATCATCATCATCATCATCGTCATCATCATCATCAACCTTCTCCCTCTTCCATCCTCCCAAAACGTGCTTGCGTCGCGTCGCGTCGCGTCCCTCATCATCCTTCTCCTTCGTCCTTCCTCCGAAATGATTATTGCATTGTTTGGCCTGCCGCGGCCCTCGCCGAGCCTCGGGGCCGTTGAATATTGACCTGGGACTTCTGAGGACCTCTTATACTGGGGTCCCTCAGCGTCCCTCTCCAGTGTCAGCCTTCTCCACCTTTCGACTCGCCCTGGTGTGGCGTGGCAGAGACAGCAAAAAGGATGGGAGGGCTTCAGAACGGTGGCTTAAGATCTGCCGCGGCAAATTATCAAACATTGCACGCGTGAAATAATCCAAGAGGGCGGCAGTGCCACGGAACTCGGGGCGCCTGCTTCGCGGAAGACGCCAGCGAAGGAACGCAAGAAGGGAAGGAGGGGGAGGGAACGAGGAGGGAGGGACCGAACCAGCGCGGGGTCGCACTGTGCCCGATAATTGAAACTTGCACCACTACACCATTACACCATGTGGAAACCGTAGGCACTACACTACTACACCAGTACGGCATGTCACGCACTGGTGTACGTGTTACAATGTCACACCATTGCGCAACTTTGGTCATCGGTGAACATATGGCACCATGAGTACACCTTTCCACAATCATGCGGATGGTGCGCTAGGCCATTACACTATTACACCATGTTGTGGGATGGAGTTGGTTGTATACCATTACGCTGTTACGCAATGTTTCATAATGGCTGGGGTTGTATACCACGATGCCATTCCGTGTGTTTGGTTTGTGTATGTGTGTGTGTGTGTTTGTGTTTTTTTTTTTTGTGGGGGGGGATAGGTCTTACACCATTGAACTATTAAGTCACGCGGTGGATGGATGTTGTATATATGTACGCAGGGTGGTGCTCGCACATGCAGCTTTTACCTCCCCCCGCTGAGGATCCTTGGGGGGGGGGTACAAAAACCGCATTCTGCGCCCTCAAGAGGGCTCAGAGACGGCCGGACGTGCGTTCAAAACAGCACAACGAATTCTAAAGACGGCCCAACAAGTCCCTGATACGTCCGATTCCACCATGACACGATTTAGCGCAAAGATGCACGTTGTATATGAGCGATGAAGATCGTGCTCGGAAAAGGTGGTTTTGAACCACCCCCTGGTGATTCTTTGGGGGGGGTCAAAGCTGCATTCTGCGACCCTCAAGAAAATTTGGAGATAGCCAACAATGGTCCCAAGACGGCCCGACAAAGACTCCAAGACGGCTGTGATACAACGTTTCGGTTATCAGAATCAGTTCGTCCCTAAAATGCATCGTCGTTGTTCCTGTCTCCTCCTTCCTCCGTTACGTTCCTCAATCCGTTCTCTCCCCGCCCAGCCATTTCTCTGCCGTGCCTGCCCGCTGACATCCCTCAGACGTTCACAAGGGTTCAGAGCACACCAGTTGTTCGGGTTGCGCTCCGCCGTTGCGACGAGAAGCGCTCCAGAGAGCTAGATCACTCCCAATCTCGGTCCTGCTGGCTCGAGCAGCAGACCCTACTCCCTCAACAGCCTGACCCCCCTTCCTCAGCAGACTGGTCCAGCCAGCGGCTGGCTGAACGGGCTGCTGAGGGTGTTTCTGGAACCCCCCTTAGGGGGAGTCATAAACACCTTGAGCAACCCATTACACCATTACACCATTACACCGCGATCCTTCGCGGAGATCCCCTCCCCCCCTCAGCAGGCTCGTCCAGCCAGCGGCTGGCTGGACGGGCTGCTGAGGGTGTTTCGGCCGTCCCCCCCGAGGATCCTCAGGGGGGTAAATCCCTCCCCCATCAGTAGCCTGACTCCCGCCCTCAGCAGACTGGTCCAGCCAGCGGCTGCCTGGACGGGCTGCTGATGTTGTTTGTGACCCACCCGCCCTCAGGATCCTGAGGGGGGCGGGGGGTCGCCGCCCCTTCGATTGCTTACACCGTTCCCCAGAATGGTGTAATGGTGTAATGGTGTAACGCTTGATCCGGTACCCCACATGGTGTAATGGTGTAGTGGTATAGACCGTGCGCCCCTATCAGAATCGTGTAATGTCAAAATTGTGTGATGGTGTATTTGTGTACATAAGCCGTGCACCATTTCCAGAATGGCATAATAGTGTAGTACACCATTTTCCAACATGGTGCTGTGATGGAGCACTGGTCAACAAACAGATCCGGATTGTCCCCCCAATGGGCTGAACGCAACGAGGTGCCACTCTGTGAGACCGATCTGTGAAACGGCAGTTCGCCTTGGAGGCGGGCGCGGTGTCTGAGCTGCCATGGGCCCCCAGAAAATCGGTCAGGGGGGGCGGGGATGAGGCCAAATCCGCTCAAAATTATGCCGGAGACCCCTCCAGGTGTCCATATGGTGAACATTTTCATTCCAGATCCATGTTTGCAGCTCTGGGACTCGAAAACGGCCCCTGGGGACCAAAACATGCCAAACAACTCTTTGAACCCAGCACCTCCAACCTCCCCCCTTCCTGCTGGCCAGAACCAGTGCTGGGCCACCTCAGACCCCCAGCTGGCTCCAACATCCCGAACGCACGCCAACAAAGAATGGCTCTTCGATTCTCTGTGGGTCCTCCCATATCCACCGACGTCATGATTGTTGTCGCAACGTCGACCCCCAGAGGTCTCGACCCGTTCCATGGGACCAGCTTTTTCCCCGTGTCTTTTTCTTGACGGTCGTCCCGAGGCCCGGCAATCGGCGGCGAGCGAGGGGGGGAAGTGAGAACATGTGAAAGTGAGAAGGCCTTCTCAGAAGGCTCGGAAGTCCCTGGGCCTTCTGAGAAGTTTGTTCGGCCTTCCCCGAAGACTGGCGCGAGGGTTTTTGACAAGCCCCGCCGCCATCTGAGAAGGCCTCCTCCTCCTCCTCCTCAATTCCCCCCTCGCTCGCCGCCGAGGCACAGGGGAATCGCCAAATAACTTAAGATCGATATTTTTTCTCGACCCGACGGGATCCCTGGGGGCCTCCCCGACGAGCCCGCTTGCGCGAGGGAGTGGGCGAGCACCCGGGCGGAGGAGAAGGGGGAGGAGGAGGAGGAGGAGGAGGAGGAGGAGGAGGAGGAGGAGGAGGAGGAGGAGGAGGAGGAGGCGGAGGAGGAGGAGGAGGAGGAGGAGGAGGATCATGAGGATCAGGAGGGGACGGGGGAGGGAGACGGAGGAAGGAGGAGGGGAGATGAGGGGGAGGGGGGAGGGGGAAGAGGGAGGAGGAGGGAGAAGGAAGAGGAGGAGGAGGGGGAGAAGGAGGAGGAGGAGGGAGGAGGAGAAGGAGGAGGAGGAAGATGAAGAGGAGGAGGAGGAGGAGGAGGAGGAGGAGAAGTAGGAGGAGGAGTGAGCCACCTGAGGAAGGCGAGACGGCCCCGAGCTGGGGCCCACGACGCGCCCACCAAGCCTTGGGGGAACCTCTCCACGTTGGCATGGGGGAATCATGAGGCCAGTTCCGTTTCGCGACAGAGCGCGCCGAGTCTGTGTGGAAACGCGATCCGTTGCTGATCCACGCGCCTTACGATTTAGCGTTTGAGTTACGGAGGCATGCAGGCACGAGACCTGACCTACGTAATGTGAGCCCAGCGAGCTACGAAAAGACAAGCCAATGGGACTAATAATAAAATGCGCTCGTGTGGCCCAAGATCGCCAGAGACGCGCCCTCGACATCACGCTAATCAGAATAAGCAACAAGAGCTGAAACGCTGTCTGGGGGTCAAAATACCGAGGGGCATTGATCATTCATCGCTCGCCATCGATAGCGTGCATCCTACGGTTGGTGGTGGCAAGATAGCGTGCAACATCGATCTCCGAAGAGCACGCTTTCCCTGTGAGGCGATCCCCCCGCGAGGGACCCTGCTGGGACCCTGCTGTGCACGCTGTCACCCATGCCAGGGATTCTTCGGTGCACGCTATTCCCAAGGTGGGGGATCGCGTGCAACAAGTGGGCCCGCGGCGCCACAACATCACGCACGCTCTCTCCAGCGGCGGCCGTGATGAGTGCTTGCCTCCTGGAGACCCAGACCCCCGACGTCATGATTTGTTCATCACCTGGACCCGCGGAAGTCTCGACCCATTCCCCGGAACTGGCTTCTCATCCTGAATCGTTGTTTGACGATTCTGGGGCCCGGCGAGGGCCCGAAGAGGCCGTCCGGGTTTCTTCATGACCCGATTGGGATTCTGGGAGGTCGCCCCCCCCGCCGCCCGCGCCTTTCGGCCCCCGGCGGCGGTCCCGCGGCTCCGCAGGTACAGGTGCAGCTCCAGCGGGTCGGGGCCCGCCTCGCCGTCTGGGGCCAGCAGCGCCTGGGGGGGGGGGGGCCGCGGGGTCGCAGGCCGCAGAGTGAAGTCATGCGTGTAAGGGACCTGACCTGAGTACTCTGCGTCCTGGGTCCCCAGGCTAGAGGCGCCCTCCGCACTACTGGCCCCCCCCCCCCGGACCATTGGCCCCAGCCCTGGACTATTGCTCCCCCCCCGACGATTGCTAGCCCCGGAATTTTGGTACCCAGTGGTGCCCACCCCAGACTACTGGCACCCCCAGATCAAAGCGGAGTCATCCCTGACCTTCCGCACCTTCCAACTTGCAGGTGGCTGGTTTAGTGATCTCCTCGACGGGCAAGAACTGACACAAACATACACTTCAGAGGTCCGCGCCGATGTGATTGCGCAGTGATTGTTATTGCGCAGTGTTGTTGTTGCTGCTGCTGCTGCTGCTGTTGTTGTTGTTGCTGCTGTTGTTGTTGTTGCTGCTGCTGCTGCTGCTGCTGTTGTTGTTGTTGTTGTTGTTGTTGGTGTTGTTGTTGTTGTTGTTGTTGTTGTTGGTGTTGTTGTTGTTGTTACATAGTGTTTGCACGTCGTGTTTTAGCGTCAGGTGCTGGGGGTATTTTTGTTGCGTTTTGTTCGCGTGGTGTATTTACATCATGCTTTCTTTACGGAGTGTGGTCACGCAGTGATTTTTTGTTTCACTTTTACAAGTGCCGTTTTCACCCTTGAAACTTTTATTTCACTAGAAAGCATAATCGTCGACATGGAAGGACCAGCCTGTGGGGCTAATAAGAAAAGAAAGGCAGCAAGAACTGAAACGCCAGCGGGAAGTCAAAATGCAGAGGCGGGGTACTCATAAACCTCTCGCCGCCGATCGCGTGCATCCTACGGTTGGCGCTGGCAAGACGGAGGGCGACACCAACCTCCGAAGAGCACGCCTTCCCTGTGAGGGCCCTGCGAGGGCAAACTGCTGTGCACACTGTCCCCCTGCCAGGGCCTCGTCGGTGCGCGCTGGCCCCGCTATAACTATCCCACGGCGGTGCGGCGCGTGAAACCCGAGCGGGGGAGCAGGGTCGCAGGCCGCAGAAAGGAGCCCTGCTCTGGTCGGGGAAGGACGGGAGGTGCCTGGCAATTCTGCCGGCCGCCAGCGGGGCCTCGCTGGGTCCCGGGGCCGTCAGGCCAGGGCTCGGGGCTGAAAACCGCCCCCCGGGAGAGGGTCGGGACTTCGGGGTGGGGGGGGGGGGCGCATCAAAGAAAACAGGGCCTCGCATGTCTGGGCACTCCTGGCGGATGCGGCCCCACTCATGCGCGCATGAGACCTGACCTACGTACACGAACCAAAAAAAAGAACCCGCCGAGGCGGGCAGAAGAACTCCCGGCGAGTTAACTCGCGGAGAGGAGCACCCGTCAAGGGATGGCGGCAGTCTGCTAGGCAGTCGAGAGAGCCCTGCGACGCGCAGGGGTCGAGGGCTGAGCGGAGCAGTCGGGCGGTGGAGCATCGCGCTTCGCCCGGCCGCAGCGCCTGGGCAGGGGGGCGGGGGGGGAGACGCAGGAGGGAGGGGGGGGGGTGACTGCGTGAGGGAGCACACGCAATATCAATGGCACCCCGCCGTGGGGAAATGATCAGCGTGCTGATGCTGAAGGAGCATCGCGCTGACGGGCTCCCAACGGCGGCGTGGCATCGGCGTAGCATCGATAGTCTTTTACCCTTCTGCACGATTGGGGGGGTGGGGGGGACTGGCTCAGGGGAGGGAGATTGACATGAAATCGGCGAGACATCGCCGATTCGTTTGGCGAGAGGCCCCGGGTCGCGAGACCGCACATTCCCGGGCGGGGTGGTCTGACTTTCAGGCCCGTACGGACGATGAGCGGGCGATCGGGGGTCGATGGACTCCTCCCTGAACCGAATTATCCCCCCTAACGTTGCCCCCGAGGGAGGGAGACGACAGGAGAACTCCGGAAGCTGGATTGATCGTCTGGAGGGGCAGGTCCCGACAGCACAAGGGTGGGGGCGAGCCTGTGTCGAGAGCCAGGGAGGGGGGAGGGGGGGAAGGCAAGCTAGGTGCGCTCGCGTCATATCTGACGTCCTACCCCTCCCTCCCATCCCTTACCATGGCGTAGATACCTTCTCGATTCGCACAGTCGGATTTCGCAGCATGGCGTAGCATCACATGGTCCAGCATTGTCTTGAAGATCCACGCGTAGCATGACATAGCATGGCGTGGCGACTCCTCTCTATTCGCATAGTCGGATGCCGTAGCATGGCAAAGCATCACAAGGCATAGAATGGTGTTGAAGATCAACGCGTAGCCTGACATAGCATGGCGTGGCGACGCCCCAGAGTAAGTGGGGGGGGGCGTCTGCGGCCTAACAAGTCAACGAATCGGCACCGAATGTGTAATCACTTCCGATGGTTTTCCTGGGGGAGCATTTTCTGGATTTTGGAAGGACCGAGCCGTGGCATGGCACTGGAAACAATGACGCCACCGCTGCAGTAAAAGAACGATTCGGAACGAGCGGAAGCGCGGACATGAGGCCAGCGCTGCAGCGGGCAGCAGGAGCACGATTCGGAACGAGCGGAAGACGGAAAATGAGGCCAGCGCTTCAGCAGGAACAACATTTTCAATAACAAACCAGGCGAAAACCCAGTTCCCTGGAATCTTGTGTAAAAAACCATGGAGGGGACCGGAGATCTTCTGGACGTCATCAGGGGAGAGAGGAGAGCAGTATTCATATTATGAAATAATAGAGACAGGGAGGGAAGGGAGAAGGCAGGAGGGGGGGGGAAACGAGAAGGGGGGAAGGGAAGGAGGAGGAGGAGGAGGAGGAGGAGGAGGAGGAGGAGGAGGAGGAGGAGGAGGAGGAGGAGGAGGAGAGAGGAAGAGGAGGAGGAGGACGAGGACGAGGAAGGGGGAGAAAGGGACATGGAAGATACAGAGAGGGAGGTGGAGGGAAGAGGAGAAGGGAAGGGGGAGGGGAGGAAGGGGGGAATCCAAGACCCTCTACGACGGGAAAGCTTTGGGCAATGCTCGGCCCACACGCCCAACGCACCGGGACTGTCGAGAAAACGACGGAAGATGAGCAGCAGGTCCCGAGGGAATTGTAAGTCAAAAAACTCTGGCCAATATGAATGACCGTTTGAATGACCCAAGATCGCCAGTTCCGCCAAAAACTGAAAACAATGCCGAGGGGGGAGAAACATCAAATTTGCGCCACCAGGAACGCTGCTCCACCACATGAGAGAGGGAGGGGGGGGTGCTCTCTGTCTAATTCTGGGTATGACATTACAGGTGGCCCCGCCTTCCCCTGAGATCCGCCGAGGCGAGACACATCCAACATTGTGACTGGAGCCGCTCGACCTCATCCTGCTGCGCCATTCTTCGAGCTGGATCGATCTGTGACGGCCCTGGGCCCGAGACTTGGCGAAGACACCTGGCGCGAAACAGCTGAGAACGCCAGGAACTCACTCTGTCACCCCCAGAGGGAGAAGGGGCAAGCCTCTGCGGGGCAAAACTAGGAGGCCTCCTGAACGGGGTCGCAGCAGACGGGGCCGGAGGATCGGGCCGCATCGGCGACCCATCGGCGGTGCATCGGCGATGCATCGGCGGTGCACCAGCGATGCGTCGGCGACGTCGGCGATGCATCGGCGACGTCCTGAAGAGAATCGGGCTCCGCATCGAGCCGCATCGCCGATGCATCGGCGATGCGGCGCGATCCTCCGATCCCATCTGCTCCGATCTCCGTCTAGGAGGCCTAGCAGGCTGGACGGCGCGCCCCTTCCGGAGCCCATCCTTAAGTCGGGCCTGTCCCTGTACAGGAGGAAAGTTCAAAAATGGTCAAACCATAATCCTGGGAACTGGTTTTACCGTATTGTTGGACCATCTGGGGGACTTTTATTTTGGTATCTTCTCTCTTTCGCCCCCCCCCGGATCCCCCCCCAGTGGGGGGACGGGCCCGACGGAAGCCCATCCTCGAGGGGGGCGGCGTGGAACGCTTCTCTGCGAGCCAACGACCGGGGGCGCGCCCCGCCCAGGGGCGGCGGCCCGCCTCCCCATCTTACCAGCATCGAGGGGCGTGGAGTCCCTGAAGACGGGACGGGGTGGGCACGAGCGGGCATCATAGCCGGCTCAAAATCAAAAGAGGCATCATAGCCTCATCAGTCTAGATTGATCCACGCATGGATCCACTGCAATTGCTTTCCACTGAATTCATTCCATGCGTAGCATGCTCTCCCCTCGAGGCATGAGGCCAATCACGGCGCGATGTCTTTCGCTATTTCCTGGCCATCGCTCGGACGTCCATTCCCTGGGCTTTTTTCGGTTTCGTGCATGGCTTTTTCGCCAAAGAATCAAGGATGCTCCTCGATGGTCCTCGCCGGAGCGAAAACGCACACGCCCGAGCGATGCCAAGTTTCTAGCCTCTGGGGGCCCTTACCGGCAACCGGGACCGTCAAAGAACGACTCGGGATGAAGAGCCGGTCCCGGGGAATGGGTCGAGACCTCTGGGGATCGCGTCATGAACAAATCATGGCGTCGGGGTCTATGTCCAGCGAAAGCTTGGCGGCGCGAACACGAGGAGTAGGGAGAGGGGGGAAGGCTTCTTGAAGAAGGCTGCTTCTAAAAAGCCTTCACCCCTGCCCCTGCCCCCCTCTGCGCGTGGCCGAAGAGAGGAGCTCAGCGGCAGAGATCAGAAAGACGACACGAAACGACGACGAACACGACGGACGACAGACGAACGACGAGGGCACGGGGGGAGGGCGAGGGAGGGGGGGGGGGGAGCGCGCGCAAGTGCATGCACTCAGCCGCCAGCCGGGGCCCGCGTGGCCCCGGGCTGTCGGGCTTGGCCGGCCGCGCCGGTGCTGGGCTTGGGCGGCACACGCTCCAGCGATCCCTGAGACCCTGGCGTCGCAATTGTTTTGGGCCGGGCGCGTTCGCCTTCTAATCTGGGCCCCGGGACCCTCACATGTCGATCTGGCTTGAGAATTGCAGCAATGATCATTCACGGTGCTGCATGTTTTCTTGACGCCGAATCTCCTGGGACGACAGCGCGGGGTGCTCAGAGGAGAGCGGGGTCACAAGTGGACGCTAAGGTGGGTCATGTCTGGCGTAACCTAGCTTGCAAGTGGGCTACAGATGCCCCAAGTGGCTTCGGGGTTAAGATAGCTCTGCTGATCGTGAGGGCCCACCTCGCCCGGATCGTTGATCCCCTCATGCCACTGGGGGCATTTGTAGTCCACTTACAAGCTAGGTAACGCCAGCCATAACCCACCTTGGTTTCCCACGGTACCCCCCTACGTCCTTACCACCCCCCGCTGTCATCCCAATCGAATAGAGAAGCAACAAACGGCATAAACATAAACTGTTGAAGATCTGCGCGGGTTTCTTGGACCCGCGCTGGACCCCCTTCCGTGGCGGGCGGAGCGCGCCAGGGGCGGCGCTGGAGGCGGCACCAGGGGGCCCCAGTGCAAATCCAATCATTCCGCGCGGAGCGCCGACAGTTCATGTTGATGTCGATGTTTCTGCTTCGGGGCCTGCCCAGACACGCACGGCAGATCTTTTGAGAGGCTTGGGAGGCAGAAACTGGGGGATGGTGATCAGAGGACGCTTCCAGCTCCCCCACTGTCGACCCACAGTCTGCAGCGAGCTAGGGATGAAAAAGGCCGTGGATGCGCACCTGCCTCCCGCCCAGAAGTGCTGTCGCCGCTCGTGAGAGGCATGAACTGGACACATCAAGAGCAGGGCTGGGCCTTCCAGCTGCGAAGGTCAGAGGGCAGACCCTGCACCGCCCAGCGGCACCAGGTTCCCCACCAGCCGACATGCCAGAACGTCACCCCTACAGAACACGATGGCTCGCGTCCCAGCTCCATGCAGGCCTCCGCCAGCTCGGATGCCTGTGCACCCGACTTTGGGAATGCAGGCCGCAGAAGGATTGCAGGCACTGCCAGCACATAAAATCGCACACAAATCATCGTCATCCTCATCCTCATCCTCCTCCTCCTCCTCATCATCATCATCAACAACAACATCATCTTCAACATCAGCACAAGCATCAACAGCATCATCATCATCCGCATCATCATAAGCATCATTACCATCGACATCCTCACCCTCATCCTCGCCCACATCCTCATCCTCATCCTCACTATCATCATCTCCATCACCATCACCATTCACATCATCACCTTCATCATAAGCATAATCAGCATCATCAGCATCATCATCCCCATCCTCACCATCACCATCATCATCACCACCACAACCAGCATCATCATCACCATCACCATCTAAGCATCAGCATCAGCAGCAGCACAATCATCATCATCATCATCAACATCACCATCACCATCCTCAGCATCGTCATCACGATCACCATCATCATCAGCAATTTGGAGTGCGAGGAGGCGCCAGCCTGGGCGGTGCACATTACCTTCACCAGCGGGAACGGGTGCAGCGTCTCCGGCTCGAAGCCGAACAGGCCCAGGCTGATGCCGCGCACGTCCCTCCCGCCCTGGGGGCGAGGGCGTGCGATGGCGGGGGCCCGGCCACCAGCAGCGGGCAACAGCGTAGGTGCACACTTTTAATTCCATTTTTCTACCGGCCGAGAGGAGCCCTGTGACAAGGGAGGGGGAAAAGACGACGAGGGACGACACGACAGCGTAGATGCACACGTGCCAGCCCTTCATTCTGGTGCCCCCCCCCGCCGTGGAGGAACAGCCAGCTGTATAAGCATGAACTTTCGGAGCTCCGCGCGAAGCGCAGATCCATGTGCTGATTGTGTGTGCGGTCGTTTCTTCTCCGACGCTCGTCCTCCTCCCTCGCCCTCTCCGTCTGCCTGTCGGCCGTTCTGCATGGCCGGCGCCACCCAAGCAGCGCTTGCACATACGGACCCCTGACCAGATTCTGAAAAGAGAACTGGACGGGAGTGCCGCCAGTTTCGCGACACGATGCCGCCCGTGGCCCCTCGTGGGCGACTTGTCGGGGTGCCGAGGCTTCGCCACGTTGCCGCCCGTGGCCCCTCGTGGGCGGCCACGTGCCACCCGTGGGCGCCTCGTGGGCACCCGTAGTCCTTGCACAGCACGGCGTGTACCGCATGCAGCTGGCATTACATCGCTTGCAGCACACAATATTTACCACACAGCTTGCACCACGTCGCTTTCTCCATGTGGCTAGCAGAGCAGATGTTTCGCCCAGCACAGAACACGGCGTAAAGCTTGCAACACACACACACACACATGTTTCACATCGAGGGTGCAATCGCCTGCTGTTTGGGGCCCATGCTGGCTACCTTTTCTTCTTCGCTTTGCGCCATTGCCCACGATATCCTAAATATGTGTTTCTGGTTGTTACGTGCACGCCTACGCCTCCTCACTCCCGCCTCCTCCCTTCATCCCATCACGCTCAGATGACTCACACTCAGGCTCAACCATACTCAGATGACTCATACTTCTCATACTTGACTTCACTCACACTCACACTCACACTCACTCACTCAGACTCAGGCTCACTCACAGTCAGAATACTCAGCTCACGCTCAGATCACTCATACCCAGACCCACGCACACTCAGACCCGCGGCCCCCCAGACGCCCCCAATAGGCTCCCAAGCGGCCCCTAAGAGGCCCCAAGAGGCCCCCCAGATGCACCCAGGATGCCCGACATCCTCCTGTTCATCCTCCTCCCTGATCCCTTCTCACCCTCCACCTCATCCGATTCCTCCGTTATCCTCCCTCTCTTGGGGCATGACGGCTTCCCCAGCCCTCTCTTACACAGCATGCTCCCCCACATTCCTGGTCAGCGCAACTCGGCTGGGCATCGTTGTTGGATGGGCTGGCGGAGTTACGCGAAGCGTGTAGTATAATGGCCCTCGCCATATCTCTCTGCCTCTCTCTCTCTCTCTCTCTCTCTCTTTCTCTTTAAACAGACACATAGATACACATACATGTACCGGAATCGCTAGACCTCTCTATACACATATGTAATACGGTTGTATGTAAATAGGTGCACATTGAACGGGATACATCTCTCTTTCTCTCTCTCTCTCTATCTCTATCTCTCCCTCTCTCTCTCTCTTTCTCTCTCTGTGCGTGTTTTCCAAGACACTCATTCATACAAAATGCAGGCCTGCAGGGCAGTTGTGGTCGCAACGGTGGCAGGCTCTGACCACTCTACCTTTTCCATGCCACCTTTCTGTGGCAAGGGCACTGGATTGTCATATTTCCAGCCCTGCTAACTCCGTCACGTGCTACAGGCCTACGGGCGCCTCGCCCAACGCAGCAGGCCCTCGCCGTTGTGAATGGAGATACGTGAAAATACGACTTGTGACTGACGGGAGGGCGTATTGTAGCATCAGCGGTATGCTGCATTTGATCTGGTCCGCCTCATCCTCCTCCTTCAAGATCGAGCTCCAAACCTTCCCTGGCGAACAAACTGAACAAACCTTCGGGGCGAATCCAACCGTAGCGCGACGAGGCCCCCCCAGCCCCCCAAAAACACAAGAGGATAGTACGATCAGGAACTTTTTGAAGGGGCCCTGGGACACACAAATAAATACATACAAATAAACATATTCCCCATATTTTCCCATATTTTCTGGGTTTCTGTCTCCCCCCCACTTCCCATATTTTCCCACATTTCTCTGGGAGTCAACGATTCATTGTGTCTGTGTGTTTTTTCTCCTCCTGACTTTTGCTCAGAGTGTCGCGGCGGCGGCACCTGCGACTCACTATGCCATGCCAGTGGATAGCGCGTCGCCCCGCTCAGCGGGGCGGGAGGTCGGGAACAGCTCAGGACGTTGACGCCTCGGGACGCGGAAATGGATAGTGTGTCACGCCGAACCGGCGGAACGACACGCGATCCAAAAAGTCCCCCGCCTTCTCCTCCTCCTCCTCCTCCTCCTCCTCCTCCTTTTCCTCCTCCTCTTGGCGGCGCGAACAAAGGGGTGGAGGGAGATGGGAAGGCTTCTTAGAAGGAGGCTGCTTCTTAGAAGGCGCCGGCCTTACATCTAAAAATGAGGACCGCGCCTTCTGAGAAGCAGGGGTGCTTCTAAGGAACCTTCCCCCCTCCCACCACTCCCCTCTGCGCGTGGCTGATCACCACCACCACTGTCCTCTCGCTCAGCACCGCCCCTCTCCCGCTCCCCTTGCTCAGGCTTCTGATTCCCGCTGCCTCCCCTTGGAGGCGCGACGGCAAACGACGCGCGCGCGCGAGCTCACGCGAGGCGAGGGCAGGACGCGCGCGGAGTCGGGCGCGGACGACCTGGGGAACGCCCAGAGCACGCAGACTGGGAGGATGCGTCCGGCGCGACGGCCGCTGCAGAGCGTTCCAGAACGCTCGTGCACCTGAACTCGAGCTCCGCGGTGAGCTGAGCGCGACCATTTCCGCGCCCTCGCCACGACGCCAAGAGTAGAAGAGCAGCCGTCCAGCGCAGGCCGCGGCGCGCGAAGCGCGGTCGTCGTCATCATCATCACCATCACCATCACCATCACCATCACCATCATCATCATCATCATCATCATCATCATCATCATCATCATCATCATCATCATCATCATCATCATCATCATCATCATCATTGTCAGCATCATCATCATCGCCATCACAGTCGCATCACACTCAACAGCATCATGATCACCATCACCACCACAACCACCATAATCTGCATATTCATCCAAACCATCATCATCGTCATGATCATTACCACCACCACCACCATCATCACCATCACCATTACCAACACAATCACCACGACCAGCATCATCATCATCATCAGAATTATCACCATCCTCACCCTCGCCAGCCTCAACGCCACCACCACCACAAGCATCATCATCATCATCATCAGCAGCATCACCATCATCATCATCACCATCGGCATCATCATCATAATCATCATCAACATCAATATCATCGTCATGCTCATCATTATTATCCTTCTCATCCTCCGCATTATCCTCCTCATCCTCCTCATCATCATCACCACCATCATCACCATCACCATCACCATCACTATCCTTACCCGATCGCTATCACCATCCCCATTATCCGGCTCTTCCTCATCATCATCATCATCATCATCATCATCATCATCATCAGCAGCATCACCATCATCACCATCATCAGCATCATCATCACCACCATCACCATCGTCATCATCATCATCATCGTCATCACCATCATCAGCATTGTCAGTAGCACCATCACCATCATCATCAAACATCGCCATCGCCATCGTCATCGTCACCACCACCATCATCATCGTCATCATCATCATCAGGCATGTCATCGATCGGGGGACTGCCTGCCTGCAGCGTGGCCGTTTCATATTCCCCCGAGCGCCTTGTTTGGGCGTCCCCAAATCATCTATCTATGTATATAGCGCCCTTGGCTGGCGCCCTTAGCTTCTGCCAGGATCGGGCCTCGTGTGCTACTCTGTGCACGGCCATGTCCACTTCATCTCTGTCACTTGCCCGACTTGGGAAGAACGGTTTTCCACCCACGCGGTGGATTTTCCTTCCAGCCTGCGTTTGCTCAACGAGCAAGCGCACCCTGCCGGTTCTCGCGCTGCGTCGCCTGATTCCTCACGCATGAGCTCCAGGTTCGCCTCCAGCCGTGTCGAATCGAATCAAATCGAATCGAATCGAACCACCATCATCACCATCATCATCAACATCATGACTATAGGTATTTGCATCATCATGTTCATTCTCACTATCATCATCATCATCATCATCATCATCATCATCATCATCATCATCATCATCATCATCCACATCATCAGCATCAACAACATCGTCGCCATTATCGTCATCGTCACTACAGGTATCAGTATTAGCCTGAGTCTGAACAACATTATCATTCGTATTATCATAAGTAGTTCCAGCATCATTATCATCATCATCACCATCACCATCATCATCATCATCATCATCATCACCATCCGCATCACCACCATCCGCATCATCATCATCATCATCATCATCATCATCATCATCATCATCATCATCAGCAGCAGCAGCAGCAGCAGCAGCATCGAAGGCCAAATAAGAGGCTCAGGAGGCTCCTCCATCACTCTCTCACTCCCTTGCTTCCCCCCTCCTCTGTGGCGACCTGGGCATGCAGACAACACTGGGACCGAGGGACGCCATGGCGCCTTGCCTCAGAGCAGCGCGGTATGAGACACAGGCAACTCGAACTCGATCAGGTTTACGAGTTGCGCCCAGCCCTGGATCCTCGGAGGGCCCCCGCCCCCCGAGATCCAGCCACCGATGCAACCTGCCCTCCTCTGACATCCGTTGTTCCTCTGGTGTTCGAAACATAACTCGGGCCTCCGTCAGCCGCTCGGGACGATCTGGGCATCCCCAGAACGCCCTCGACGAGGCGCAGCTGATGGAGATCGCTCCGAGGACGAAAAGCCGCCGAGATCCCACGAACGCGTCCGAAAACCTCAAGCCTCGTGGTCTCGACTCGCCTTCCGCTGCTGGTCCTCCCCGCGGGCCCGAACATCGCGGCAAACGGCCCTCCCGCGTCCGGCGGCGGGCGAGGGGGCAGCGCGGCGCCTCGCTGGCGGCCGGCCACAGAGCGAACACCTCCGCTGTCCCGCTCCCCCCTCGCCGCCTCCCCCTCCCCCCGCAGAGCACCTCGTGGCGGTGGGCGGCGGCCCGAGGAAGCCGGGAGGGCCCACCCGCCGAGGGGCAGACGGCGGGTGGGTGGAAGCGCATCTTCGTAGTTCGAGGCCCGATGTTTTCGGACGCTGCCCAAGACGAAACCAGGTCGAGGATAAGCATTGGGAGCAGCGAGTTGCATCGTCAATTCTTCATTGTAGTTTTTCTTTTCGAGATCCTTCGGAAGGCTTGCGGAAGCAGCTTGTTCAGTGTCCCAAACACTAATGTCGTGCCAGCCTCGCGTTATCGATACGATGGCTTCTAAGTGCCAGAAGTGTCGCAACGAAGTCGGGCGCCCCCAGCATTGCGGTATCGCGCTGGAACTTCTGAGGGATGCCATCTTCCGATTTTGTGTTTTGCGTGGCAGGAGCGGATCGCAGCGCACTTCTCGCGCGAATGGTGAGGCTCGATCAAACCGTCCAGCATTGCTCCGGGCGGGGTGCCTCGGCGAGATGAATTTCTGGGCCGACGCGCCCGAAGTCCACCGAAACCAATTCTCATGTTTGGGTGCGAGGGCGGGGTCGGACGAGGCCCGCAGATCCGCTTAGGTTGTATAAGCCGTTTCCCACCTGCTCTTTTCGATCCGTATTTTTGTTCAGCGTTCCTTACCCGCCTCTCATGTCCCTGGTGCCACTTCAATTCCCCGTCTCCTTGCCCATTCATCCTCCTCACCTCTACTTGTTCCCCCCCCCCCTGCTGCGAGTCCCGTGTCCTCGCCCCTTTTCTGTTTGGCTGCGTTCCTTCCACCCCCCTCCCTGCAGTCCTCACTCCCCTCTTCGTGTCTGGAGTGGCCTGGTAAACGCAGGCAAGAATGTCGTGGCGACGCTCACCTTCCTTTGTCTAGGCGTCGTGCATCTATAATATCATTCCTCCTCGGTGTTTGTGCGCGCGGCTGGTGCTCGTGGCCGTTTGGACAACCGTGGCGTTCACTCCGCGTCGCTGCCAATTTCGGCCGAGCCACGGTTGCAAGCATGAGCTCGCCAATCCCAGGTCGGTCGCGCATTGTCCCGAGCTTGTTCGGTGCGTTCTTTTGTCTTGTTCCAGTGTTGCCTTGGCGCCGAACCCACCTCAACCAACAAAAATAAAAGAAGAGGGGGGATGAGTGGACGCTTACGTGGAGGAGGAAAAAGGAGGAGGTACGCCACGAGCGCCAGGAGCCCCCGGGAAGCCCCAGGAGGTACTCAGACACCAGTAAGTCCCAGGAAACCCCAGAAGACGGCTCCAGGAAGCTCCAGAAGGTTCCAGGGAGCCGCAGGGGGTCCCAGGAGGCCCCAGGAGGCCCCAGGAGACACCAGAGGGCACCAGGAAAAACACCAGGTGGCCGCAGGAAGCGCCAGGACGCCCCAGGAGCCCCCCAGGAAGCCACGGGAGGGAGGCGAGGCTCCAGGAAGCTCCAGGAAGCTTCAGGAGGCACCCGGAAAGCTTGGGGAACGTTGGAAAGGCTCAGCAGACAGGGGCAGTTTGGGTCGGGGGTCTGGGCCCGGCCGCAGTGATCTGGTAGGCTTCAAGCGACCGCTGGGCAGCCTGTCAATGGCTCTGGCGGTGTCTTCTGGACTTGCGTGGTCGTCGCAAGGTGCTGGCGGGGGTCCGCTTCACTCCTAGTTCTCATTCCTCTCGTCCTGATCCCTCGTCCTCCTCCCTCCTCGTCATCCTCGTCCTGCTTCCTCGTCGTCCTCCGTCCTCCTCGTTCTCCTCCATCGTCTGTCCCCTCCTTCCTCGTCCTCCTCGTCCTCCTCCTCCTCCTCCTTCCTCGTCGCCCTCCTCTCTCCTCGTCCTCCTCCTTCGTCGTCCTCGTCCCTTTTCGCTCTCTCCCCCCTCCTTGGCCTCCTACTCCTGGGTCCCCTCCTGAGCTGTCTGCCTGGGCGTGCCGCCGCAGGCGGGCCACGCACGATGTGTGCGCAGGCGCGCACTCCCTCCCCCCGACGGCCGCAAAATTCTGGACCACTTATAAGGTCTGCGGCTCTTGGCTGCGCCCCTCTCCGACAAGTCCACCACTCCGTGCGGCTCTTGGCGGCGTCCCCCATCCTGACCGCCGAGCTCGATCCTGCCCCGCGAAGGCGACTGGGCTGTCACCCAGCGCCGGGTTGGACTCGCTTCCCCTCCTCCTCCTCCTTCCCCCGCTCTACATTCACCTGTTTCTGCTGCTCTTGGCTGCGCCCCCAACGAAGTGTGCCTTGGCTGGGAATGTGACAGTGCTTTGGTCGAGTCCAAGCGCGGATGCCCTGGGCACGGTTATCGTGCCACGGCACTTGGTTGCACCCCCCCCACCTTCATTCACAAGTCTCTGCGGCTCTTGGCTGCGCCCCCAGCGTTGTGAAGGGACATCATGACAGGGGGGCTGACAGTTTCAGCCACCCCTGTGGGCCAATATGGCCCTCAGCGAAGTGTGCCTTGGTTGAGGACGTGCCAGCGCCGTGGCACGGTCCAAGCGTGGAGGCCCTGGGCATGGCTGTCGTGCCAACGGCACTTGGTTGCACCCCCCACGTTCATTCACAAGTCTCTGCGGCTCTTGGCTGCGCCCCCAGCGTAGTGAAGGGACATCATGACTGGGGAGCTGACAGGTTCAGCCATCCCAGCGGGTCACAATCGCCCAGAATCTCGCTTCCAGCAGTGCCAGCAGACAGTTGGGTCCTCATCACGTCGCACAGGGCCCGCCCGCGCTGGACACCACAGCAGTGATTTCCCCCGGACTCCCTGGTCGGACATGACGTGGTGCATCGGCTGGTCGCCAGCTGAGCACGATGTCGTGAGGACGCGTGGGAGTGGTTTCCACCCCTCCCCGTGGTCACCGCCACAGTGGCCAGCGGGCCACCCCCACCTGCGGGTCTGGTCCACATGGTACGTTTCAGGGCGCTACAGGGGCTGGGCTTCGGTAAGGTGAAGACTAGCATGGGCGTGTTCCTGCACAAGTGGTTCATCCTTTGGCAGGTCATCGCGGTTCCCATGGCTGGTCCTTCGTACAGGTGCCTCGGTCAACGCTTGCAACTTTGTGCCCCCGATCTTCCGTGTCGGATAAGTTGCACGCGGTGGGCACCGGCGGCTTCGGCGTCAGGTTCGCTGACTGGTATCGTCGCTTTCGCGTTCAAGCTCCTGTACAAGTGGTTCATCCTTTGGCAGGTCATCGCAGTTCCCCCGGCTGGTCCCTCGTTCAGGTGCCGCGGCCAGCGCTTGCAACTTTGCGCCCCCGATCTTACGTGTCGGACAAGTTGCATGCTGTGGACACAGGCGGCATTGACGACAAGTCCGCTGACTGGGCACCGGTCGCTCTCACGTCCAAGAGCGGCAGACTTGACGTCTACAGCAGTGAGTCACCGCGAGTGAGCCTTCTCTCTGTGCCTTTCCCCTTTTCCTGCTGCCGGGTGCCCTTCTGGCGTCCGCTGTGTCTCTCCTGTTCCCTCTTGCCTCACCTACATCGTGCATGGGCGGTGCTGGCCACGCCTGGCCACCCCGTGCCACTACAGTGCGGCGTGCTTCACGCCTTTTCGTGCTGTGCGGTTCGGCCTGAGCTTGGCGCCGTGTGCGCGACTGCTCCTATCCGTCCGCTTCCGGTACCGTGCTTGCGTCCCCATCCGCTGGGCCGCCTGCGTCGGTCCCCAATGAGGGTCACTTTGTCCCTGGCATGTGCACTCTCTACAGCGGCCTATGCGCCTCTGCAGCCAGTTATCTCGCTCTGTGGCCCAGACGTGATTCCCGCTCGCTGGATCTGTCCTTCGAGCCGCCGAACGAAAAAGTATCCGCACCACCCTAGGTGGTGCGGATACGCGAAGCGTCCCGGACGCCCCGCACAGCGCCCCGGACGTTGCGCCCGCTCCATGTCCCTCGTCTTGGAGCCGCGAACCAAAAAACGTATCCGCACCACCCTGCCAGTTCCACCTGTTGCTGCCCCTCTGCCGCCGCTTCTGAGCGCTGACCCGGCCGTCTTGCGCGTCGCTTAGTAGCCAGTGAGGCTGGCCCGTGCCCCGGGCCCCCCTCTCGCCGCCTGCGCCTTCGCTTGCGGCCGCGACCAAAAAAAGTATCCGCGCCAGCGGCCCGTCCATCCTCCTGCGGCTGTCCCCCCGCAGGAGGTGCACGGGCTTGCCCACTTGTAGCTCCTGCGGCTGGTAGCTGCGTCCACAATGTCTACGTGGCCCCCAGCGCTACCCCGTGACATTGGGACCAGCGCCAGCTAACACAAGGGCCCTCTCCCTGCGGCGGTCTTCCTCGGGAGGTGCCCTTGACTACACGGTGCAACCTCGGCTCGCACCCGTCGCCCTTCGCTGGCCCCGCGCGTTGATTATGCTCCGTGGTACGCCGACTGAGTGGACAGACGCATCCCCGGTTAATGAGGGATTTCAGAATGCTTCGCGAGGCTGGCCCACGTGGTGTGGTCACAGGACTCGCAGTCGACGGCGGCGTTGGTTATTCACGTTCGCCCCACGCCGATTCGTAGCCAAGGATAGTTTGGTAAGGACATGATGTTTGTCGAGGTGAAGGTCGCTGGGGACGAGCTCACCGAGGACAAGCTTGCTGAGGGTCCCTCTTCGGCATGCGGGCCTGGCCACTGTTCATTCTCCGGTTTCTCGGTCGCTGCGCGCGCCTTGCCCCGTTCCCGCACTGCTGTGTAGGTCTTCGCTGGACCTTATTGACGGCGCGCGGCTCCTCCGCTTGCGCTCGCAAGCAACAAATATCCGCGCCAGCCTTATGGCTGCTAGCTGCCGATGGCAAGCCCCTCGTGAGCGCCGCGCGGCCCGCCCCGGCTAGAGTCACCTCCCGCTGTTCTCCTGTTGTCTCTCTTATCCTCTCCCGTGTGCAATTTAGGCTCCTGCTAGTCAGCGGTAGCTCTGGACGGCGCGCGGCCCTTCCGTTTGCGCTCGCCCGTGCAGAAACGATGCAGAAACGATCCTGGGGCGAACTGCCGTGCTCAGAGGGGCGCGGCGGCGACCAGC